TACCTAGTGAACTGGTTAATAATTTTACAACTTTAGCTTTCTATCCATATCGAGTTTATTATTATTGAAAAATGTTCATTAAATATTAAACTGAATTAATTGCGATCGATTAAAAAATTAAAAGAACCTTTTAGACTCGGTCGGAAGTCATTTAAAATTTAAAAAGTGAGTATACAATATATTATTTTATACAAACAAACAAATAAGTAATGAATATATAAATTACCATTTATAAGTACGCCAAGCCGCTAACCCCCTTTCAATTTAATTAAGGACTATATATATGTAATATAACTTTTGGGAGAAGGTTCGAACACTAACATGGCGTTTGATTGAATGGAATTTAAATTCTCTTCCCACTTAATTCCACTTAATTTTAAAGATCACATAATTTTCTTGTTTTGTTGAAAGAAATTGCAATTCCCCCATTTTCATGGAATTAAAATTCCATGTCCCTTCTGGAATTTTAGGAAAAAAGAAAAGATAATGATGAGTCAAAATTACCCCATCCTTTTTTAACCTAAAATTAATGCCTAACAACAATGGACATTTTTGACTTTATACTACTTATTCCCTTCTAATTCCCATGTATACCAAACATTGGAATTGAAATTCTCAGTAATTCTATTCCTGTAAACCAAACACTAGAATTTAAATTCTTACTTTATTCCAAGTAATTCATCTCCCATGAAATTGCAATTCCTTTCCCACGTAATTCCCTATCTCCAACCAAACGCCCAGTAAAGAGTTTTACTTCAAAAATTTTACCACTTAAAAACACAACACACACAAAATAAGAATTTAAGAAGAGAAATATTATGAGTATAAGTCACGAGTTGTATTTGTGTTTAGCCATGTTGGTTTTATGGCCATGTGCTAGTCAAACAGCAGGTCAACACAAGTAGTTGCAAGAGAATGGAATTCACACCCCGTTTCAATGTGGCCTAGGGGCGAGTATTTATACAAAATTTATGTGTCTTGGGAAGGAAAGAAAGAATAAATTAATAAATTAGGACTTAGGAGGCTTTCAAACTGACATGCTTCTTTCTTAATATTGAAAAGGAAATCCCACACAAAATTTGGAGGAAATCTCCGAAAAATCTCTTTTAATCACCTCTGAGTGCTGCACATGCTCGGGCGTTCAAGCCAACTGCCTTCAGTGGACGACCAGCTGGGCCTACCAAACGGGTCATACGTCTCGGCATGGGACCAAGCTAAGCTACTGGATTTCTCCCGTCTGTCTTGGGATAACGTCATCAAACTATACTGTAAGTCCCGACCATCGAGATATGCTCCTAACTGAGTACCCTAGCCATATGTTCCTGCCATTATTGTATCAAGCCTTATTGAATCTATTCACATGAATTGCCATGCATGTCCGGTCTTTAATTTGGTTAACAAATTTAAACAAAAAGACTATAAACAATATTCTAGAAGTGATGAATTTTGAACCAAGGACATTTGGACAAGACAAAACATCTTTGACGGGATGGAACTATTTAATTTTCAACTACTTTCTCCTTGCGTTATGTTACAAGACATGGTCTTTAATTGGTTTATAAATGTAAAATAATAGAATAGAAATACTACTATTTCTTCTTCTTCTCCGTTAGAAATACAATTTGTATGAAGAGGGAATAAAATATATTTATAGTTTTATATATTATTGTGTTATGTGTATATTTATTTATTATTTTTTACCTTTAGTTTGAGATATGTTCATAAAATTGAATTTTTACTCATAAAAAAGTTAGATTAATTTTTTTTTAATATGATATATGCACCCTTATAATCATATTATCTTTAGACCGACTTGAATTTAGATGTTAAACATATTTGTTTTAATACACCGTAGGGAAAGGAAACATTAGAATAAGAAAACAACAAAAGCACAAGTAATTCGATCTCTTCACAATAATCCCGTTTTCCAATCAGTAGGCCGTAGCGTTCAATATGACAGCATGATGTACATAATTGATTAGTGGGGGTGATTTTGATTGGGACTTCCTTTAATAATGATATTGTTAAATAAAATAAGATTTTTTTTTGGGTGCGCAGGAGGGACGAGAAGGTCCCAAAGATTAATAAATTCTTCTAGTAGCGATGCTTTTCACGCTCTCAGGTGGGTGAACCGGAATGGATGTACCCCAAGTGTTGTCTTGTTCTATGTTCGCGAGATAGTCAGCACATTGGTTATTTTCACGGAACACATGGAAGATCTCGCAATCTTGAAATAAGATTTATTTGATTCATTTTGAAAAGTTTTAGTGTTTAATTTAATTGTATACATATACTCGATCTTTTGTGTAAAGTTATTGATTTTGAAAAGTTTTAGTGTTTAATTGCATACATTTACTCTTCTGTGTAAAGTTTATGGCCTATTTAACTTTTGTAACGCATATGGTACATTTTTTTTTTGAGTACTACTGACTTTGTTACAATGTAGTATCTAACTTTTTTTTGAAAAGTTCTTGTTTGCTTGACCATCATTGGAGACTTGGACTATTGGAGTCGTCAGTCAACGGAGAATATATTCAATAGACTTTGAACCCATCATGTCGCAATTCTTTGTTTCACATTCGATCTTCCACTTTTATCAATTAAACTCCATAGCTTAGCTTATACGTTTCATATTCTCACATTTGATTCTTGAGCACAAAAAAGTGAAAAACATACGCTCTGTTTAGTAATATAGTTAGTTTATCAATTAATTTTGACTTATTTGACTATTATTAACTGCTTGATTTGGTTAAACAATCCATATGTGTGTTTGATTAATTAGCTTTTGTAACAACTTATTACTCTAAAAGGTTAAAATTCAAAAGGCCAATTAATTTACCAAACACTTTTCAATAATCATATAGGCATATAGCTAATGTTATCAACTAATCAAACGCACTAACCAATTAGCTAACAACTATTTACCAAACATTCCATAATCTCTCACCTTAAAGACCATGTAAGTGTACAAATGATACACATTAAACCCTTTTATGTTGGCTAATTTAATTGACAAAATAATTAGAATTTATTTTGAAAATTATCATATGAACCGTGGACCGTCTCCTATCAAAAAGGTATGAATATTATACAAGGTAATTTCTTTTGGAAGCTTTCAAGTTTTTTTTATCAAAAAAAACTTGAAAAATTAATCAAGTGGTCTTGGTTAATTAGAGGTGTTAATTAAGGAATTTATTTTTGCATGAGTTTGTTATAGTATGGCATTGAAGTGGTAAGTGAAAGATTTGTGGTGTGGATTAATTTGCATTGGGAATGGCGTATGAATAGATATAATTATGGAAAGTTGGTTGTGATTGTTTTAGTATATAAAGGGAAGCATTCTTACCTTCACTGGACGAAATTTTTGACGAAGAAAAAAGCACAGTTGAGAAGCTATATATTACTCCTATTCTGATAGTTATTATACATTATTTTATTGAGTGAAGCTGAATGCCTATTCTGAGAGGATTCATCATATATTGATTTAATTATTATTATATATTGAGTTGGTGAAGTTTCTACACAAAGATTAATCAAGAAGGTACATTTGGCGTGAAGAGCTTGAAGTTGGTTTTCGGCATGCATGTCCCCTTCTCCAAAATAGATGTTTGAAGATTAAGATGGTGTATTAGGCTGTAGCCTTTTTGTATGTGGTTGAGTCATACAAACCCCTGTAATCTTGGTGAACATCTAGTGGATTGGGCTGACGTGAGTTGTCCCGCAGACGTAGGAGAAGCGCTCCGAACTGCGTAACAATTCTCTTGTGTTATTGTTTTGTTTTATGCTTTCAATTTTCGTTATTTACATTTGATTAAAAAATCTAATTAATGAACGCGATTGTTACATAACATAAAATCAAGTAGAAATATAAGTTACATCTTGCATTCAAGATTCACGGTGAAATTTCAGACCCCACGCTCGAACCTAAAAGAATATGGTGATAGGGTAAATAATTATTGTGACTCAATAACCTCTTATGTTGAAGAACAATTACCTAGTGCTCACAAGTAGCTCATCAGATTAGGTGCAACTCCTATATTTATTAGTTAAATTTTTGAAGTGGTTAATAATTTTACAACTTTAGCTTTCTATCCATATCGAGTTTATTATTGTTGAAAAATGTAGATCATCTCTTAATTTGTCTGGTCAGCGTTGGTTGCATGATACTTGGCCATACAAAGCCTACCTTTGTGCTGCTTGTCCACACACTGCCTAAAATGTTGCTAAGGGTGTAAGAAGGACACAAACAGTATAAATAAATAAAGGCTTTGGCTGTGTCACTAGGCACCGAACAACATCACTCTACCTCCCTAAATTCTGATACTGAGGTACGCGTTTATTTCTGTGTTGTCAGTCGGAGATATAGCGATATCCTTGGTCGTTAAATATCTTTAAGATAGTGTTCCCTAGGACACGACACAAACGTACATTACCTTGTTCCAGGTTTTGCGCTGCAAGTGTTCAATCCAACGTAGCATTCATCGCAATTTCCATTCCAGGTAATCCTCGTTGTTGTTAAGCACAACACTTACCTCAATCTCCCCTCTGAAATTGTCCCTGCTACTCTCAAGAAATCTGCCAAGCCACTCGGCAGGCCCATGGATGGCCCTCCTGGCGATCGCCCACGGTAACTATTGTTTTGTTTAGCAAACCATTTGTGGGGTTTAGTTGATTCATGTGGTAGTACGTGTTGGAAAGTTGCTAGCTTTTGTTGCATTATAATTGGATTTGGTAAATATAGTTTTGTTTAGCAAACCATTTGTGGGGTTATGTTGATTCATGTGGTAGTGTTGGAAAGTTGCTAACTTTTGTTGGTTTTTAATTGGATTATTCTAACACATAATGTACACTATTTATACTCATAATATTCGCAACAATATTTTGGACCGTGATCACATAATAATTTGCCTACTTAAGGGCTGCCCTTTCGTGAAGCGAAATCCCTGAGTATTTATTTTTATGTGCTCGTCTCCAGCCCTCTAGGTATAACCATGCCTGACTCGTCTCGAGATTCTTCTACGCTCGACTCTTCTCACCCCTCACTTTATTCGCTTCTCAAACCGATTCTTGATAAGTTGCCTAAGGAGTGCCATCCAAAAGTATGTATCTGTTCTTCGATTACAATTTGCAATTATGATTTCTTTAACTTCAAATCCCACCCTTAGCAATTATAATTTTTCAATTTTTGTTGTTTAAGGACCCTTTGATTGGCAGCGGGCTATCTAAAAGATCCATTGACACCATCAAATTGGTGGAACCGGATGAATATGAAATTATTGTTGAAATATGTGAGATGGCACTTGATCATTACCGGACAAGTCATGTATGTATATAGTTTTTTTTTTTTTCTGCTTTGATTTTATATTTTATATTTAATATTTACTAATTACTAATTATTTTGTCTTTTTAGCCAGAAAAATTGCATGAGTTTGAGTTTGAGTACGTGCATGAGCTATTTACTAGGCTTGTGGCTGGGTGGGAATATAACCTTAAATTTTCAGCCAAAAATATGAGGGAGGAAGGTAATCCGTCAGCAATGTTTCAGGCTGTTGGCTATTGCCTTGTAGGAAGGGAACTCAGTGTATTAGAATGTACCCTGGTGGAATAGGTAATTTTTTTTACTTAAACTTTTATATTTTATTGTTTCAGTTTAATGATATATGTAATCTTGCGTTGTTATCATTAGATTATTTTATTATACATTTGAAGAGTCATTTAGATGAATTATGATTGAATTGTTAACCATTTCAACAACAAATTTTTAATCTAATGAAAAATATTGTTGTAATCTTATTGCAAGTGCTATAATTATTCTAATTAATCTCGTAGGTCTTCGAAACGGGAGTTGAATGGCGGTGATAATGTGATACAGTGGCTGATTTGACTTTGGAGCATGCATGCTGTTGGCGGTGGGAGTTTGGGACATTTATATTGATGGTTTATTAATCATAAGTAGTCTGATTATGACTTTATTATGACTTCATATATCCTTCTTTGTACGGCTGATTTCTTTGCCATTTCTCTTTGTCTGATATATTATTATTGCTCCCAAATTCTTTGTCTGATATTCCATTCTAGGTCATTAAACTGTGACTAACTTAGCTGCCCATATGGACTTGATTGGAGTATTCAAATGTTTACTATGAAAGTTTTTTTTTTTTTTTTTTTGAGAAAATTACTTATTTAGTCTTTCGACTATGAGGATTTTATAACTAATTTGGTTATCGATTTTTAAAATTCATCAATTTCGTCCTTGACTATGTCATTTTACTCGATTTGATCCTAAAATGGCATATTCGAGGATCAAATTGGATAAAAATCCAATTAACACTTATGACCAAATCGAGTAAAAATGACATAGTCGAGGGTGAAATTGAGGAATTTTAGAAGTCAATGACTAAATTGGTGAAATTCTTATAGTTGGGGGACCAAATCGGTAATTATCTCGTTTTTTTTTTTTTTTTTTTTTTTGCATTTTTTGTTTTTTTTTTTTTTTTTTTTTTTGTTTTGTTTTTTTTTTTTTTTTTTTTTTTTTTTTAAATTTTAACTTAGACATACTTTAATATACGTTAGTTGATGGGATTATATGACGAGCCTACTTGTAGTTTGGTACCATAACATGAGGATCGACCTGATTCAACGTTAAAACGGTTATAATAAAAAAATAATTATAGTCCAAAGCCCAAAGGGATATTTTGGTGTTGAAGTGGTTAAATTCATTTTTTTAAAAAAATTAAAATGTCATTTAGAAAACAAGGTTAATTAATATCAAATTGAGTTCTTGGATTCCACAAAGTGAATGAAATTTATATTTCACGTACAGCTAGCAACAAATAGTCAAACTGCCATTACTGTATTGGGATAGTCAAACGGTGGATCAACACAACCGTAAAACAAAAGGAAAAAATAGGAGAGAAATTAGACAGAATAATTGCAAGAGAATGGAATTCAGAACTCATTTCGATGTGTCCTAGAGGGCGAGTATTTATACAAAATTTATGTCTTGGAAAGGAAAAAAAGAAGAAAATAATTAATAAATTAGAACTTAAGAAGCTTCCAAATTGCCATGCTTCTTTCCTAATATTGAAAAGGAAATTCCGCGCAAAATCTGAAGGAAATCTCCTTTAACCGCCTCTGAGTGCGGCACCTGCTCGGGCATTCCAGCCAACTGCCTTTAGTGGACGACCAGTTGGGCCTACCAAACGGGTCATGTCTCGACATGGGACCAAGCTAAGCTACTGGATTTCTCCCATCTTCCGAAAACATCGTCAAACTGTGAGTCCCGACCGTCGAGGTATGCTCCTAACTGAGTACCCTACTCGGTATCCATCAAGCTATATGTTCCTGCCATTATTGTATCAAGCCTTATTGAATCTATTCACATGAATTGCCATGCATGTCTGGTCTTAATTTGGTTAACAAATTTAAACAAAAAGACTATAAACAATATTGTAGAAGTGATGAATTTTGAACCAAGGACATTAGTTCAAGACAAAACATCTTTGACGGGATGGAACTATTTAATTTTCAACTTCTCCATGCGTTACGTTACAAGACATGGTCTTTGGTTTATAAATGTAAAATAATAGAATAGAAATACAATTTGTATGAACAGGGAATAAAATATATTTATAGTTTTATATATTATTGTGTTATGTGTATTTATTTATTGTTTTTTACCTTTAGTTTGAGATATGTTCATAAAATTGAATTTTTACTCATAAAAAAGTTAGACTAATTTTTTTAAATATGATATATGCACCCTTATAATCTTATTATCTTTAGACCAACTTGAATTTAGATGTTAAACATATTTGTTTTAATACACCGTAGGGAAAGGAATCATTAGAAGAAGAAAACAACAAAAGCACAAGTAATTCGATCGCTTCACACTAGTTATCCGTTTTTCAATCAGTAGGCTGTAGCGTTCAATATGACAACATGATGTACATAATTAATTAGTGGGGGTGATTTTGATTGGGAATTCATTTAATAATGATATTGTTAAATAAATAAGATTTTTTTTTGGGGTGCGCAGGAGGGACGGAAAGCTCTCGAAGATTAATAAATTCTTCTAGTGGCGATGCTTTTGGCATCACGCTCAAGGATGTCTTTCACGCCTTCAGGTAGGTGAACCGCACATTGATTACCTTCACGGAACACGTGGAAGATCTCGCAATCTTGAAATAAGATTTATTTGATTCATTTTGAAAAGTTTTAGTGTTTAATTGCATACATTTACTCTTTTGTGTAAAGTTTATGGCCTATTTAACTCTTGTGACGCATATGGTACATTTCTTCTGAGTACTACTGACTTTGTTACAATGTAGTATCTATCTGGCTCGAACCCATGACATCTTATTTGGGAGAGCCACTAGACCATCATTGGCTCATATGGTCCATTATTTCTATATATATTGTATATTATTTTCTATGCCCATGGTACATTATTTTTATGCATAGGGTAAGTTATTTTTATATGTAATATTTATTATTTGAGTGTGTACAAAATAGTATGAAAATAACTTGAGAGTTCATCATTTATATGCATAAGGTTCATTATTTGTATACATAAAATTTATTATTTAAATATATAAAACTGATTGAATGTTTTAGATTATTTATGCATTACATATTTGGATTTATTCAATAATTCACCTCATACCCTTTACTTAGAATTTAGAAATCTAAAATATTCAGTAAATCAATATGCAAAAAGTTTATTATTGGAAGACATAAAACACATGCATTATTTCTGAGAATATGTTTTGATGGCTGATCCGCTGGGATCCTTTCAGTTCCGATCTTCGATCGGAAAAGTTCAAGAACAGCCACCGGAGGCAAAGCCCAGTTTCCCTCCGGCAACATCATACACCACCTCCAATGTCTGCTGCTGAAAGTTTCCCAGAATTCCCACATCGCTAGCATTCCGGTTTCCAAGAAACGCCAAACACAACTGCGACGCACTTCCCTGCAGAGGCAGCATGGTCAATCTAGGACCCAAATCAACCACCAAATCGCCGCCAAATGTGAAGCTTATCTTGGGAATGTTTGGGTTAGGATATCCGGTGAAGTCATAGCAAGTGTCGAAGCTCGAGCGGCCGCCTGATGACACGGCCGGATACATTGCCATCCCCTGCCTGAAAGCGTCACGTAAAGCCGCGTACGCCGCCGGGGGCAGCCGAGTTATGACGGTTCCGGAGTCTATAATTGTCCCGGAGGCCTTGAACACGGCCGGACCGATTGGGAGTTGGCGTCCGTTAACGCTTATGGCCAAGACATCAATGAAGTAAAGCCCAGTTTTGTCCTGTGAGCTTGAGAAAGGTGTGAATCTGAGATTATTATTATTATTAGTCTTCCCCAACGTTAAATGCCCATCGGATCCTGTTCTTGTGGGCAGACAATAGGAGAAGTATTTCCCATATTGTTGGGACGTTTGGGACACTATAGAGAGCCCATCTCTCCCTAAACCCATCAGTCCGGCGTTGTCGCCGAAGAAGAGGTGGTTATTTTGGCCGCAGCCGAACAAGAAGCCGTCGACCAAATCCGTGGCGGATAAGCTCAGCTTGTCCTTGGCGAATTCGCCGATGGAGAATGACCCGTCGCCGTAACTCACTCTGTAGACGCAGGTGGTGGAATCCACGCAGAACGGGCGGTATAAGGTGGCGGACTGGAGCGCAGAGCACGCCGGCGAGGTACACGATACGTTGGAATACGAGGTTGAGGCTGCTGGGTCGAAGATTGTGGCGCTTTGTTTGTAGCATTTCCCGGCGCAGGGCTGGCATTGAGTCCAGGTGAGATGGCTGCCGGTGTCGAACACTAGATCCAGCTCTTTTTCCGGCGTCCCCAATCCCACCGTCACCACGTAGTTTCCTACGCCGCCTGGGCTCTCATGCTCCGCCGGGAGATTGGCGGTTTTTGACTCGCTCATCTCTCCTTTGGTCTTGGCCACTCGGGCTTGGATTGAGTTGACTCGTGACTCGTCGTGCAGCAGAAGTTCACTCACGGTTGGCGAGTCCTGGATCCGGGCAGAGCAGGGACCAAACCTATGAACAACCTTCATGGATGCCTTTCTACTTGGACCTGAAAACATTTTATTAGAAGGAAAATAATATATGGACTCTCACCTTCAAATTCTTGATCTGAACACATTTTTAACGTGTTAGGAGACTCACATAATGAAAATAGCTAATCAATTTGTACTTTGTGTTTTTGAACCCTGTTCCATACAGACAATAGTGATTGTCCTACAATTCTAACTTGTTTATGCTAAAAGTACATCATTAATTTATTTCTTGAGACAATTCCAACAAAGTTATTTGAACAGTAAGTTTGTTAATCACAAGGTTTCAAATCTAATTCCTCATGAGACATGTATATTGACCTTAAAGAGTGAAATATTTAATAGCCCTCTCTGGTGAGTGAATAATTACTGACCTTTGGAAGTGGTTGTATTGCAAACAAAGGGTGGAAGCATGGAAGTGAGTGGAAGAGTATGGTGGTGATGAGCTTCTAACCCAACTCTTTGTTCAGAAGCATTCCCCTTTCCCAAACCACATGAAAGCATGATGATAATAAGCAGAATGAAAACATTTGCAGATGATTGAAGAAGAAGAAGAAGAAGAAGAGGAAGCTTCAACATCCTATCTGCACTACTTAGTTTTCTACGACAACCCATTCTTGATCATCACTGATTTCTGATCTCTTTCTCATATAGGTACTATATATATATATATATATATATATATATATATATATAGGACTCATTTTTCTTCCGGACATACCACTTGCCCATTCTGCTTATAAACTCGTGCTTTTTTTGGAAGAATATCTAAACACAAATATGATATTCAACTATCAATTTAGACTTTTAAGTTAGGATGAAGCACGACAGTGAATGATTGATTTAATTTGATAATATGAACATGAAAAGAGAAAAGCAATTATAGTTTTATTACGGTTCTGATTTGAAATCTTAAACATGATTTAAAAAAAAAAATTAAATACATCATAGGGAAAGGAAGATTTAGACTAAAAAAAACAAAACAAAACAAAAATTCTAGTAATTTTCTTCACAATAGTTATACATTTTCCAATCAGAAGTGTTCAATATGACATCATGATATTTCTTGTACATAATTAGTGGGGTATGGTACTTCTGATTGGAGGTTACTTTAATAATGAATAATGATGCACTTCATTCGACACCTATGTGGAAAAGTTTGGCAAAAGTAGAAAATCATAATCAATGAGAATTATTATTATTATTATCATGGAAACAAGCACTTCATTCCACACCTATGTGGAAAAGTTTGGCAAAATTAAAAGGAGAAAATCTATTATTATTATTATTATTATTATTATTATTATTATTATTATTATTATGAAAACAAGCAGACGAGATAAAGAAATCACAAAAATTATGACCAAGCCACACAAACAGTAAGAATAGGCCTCAATCCACATACTTGGAGGGTTTGAATCTCACTAATGGAAGGTCCGAATTAGATTCTTTGTACGCACATGAAGATTAAAATTTGACCGGTGAGCTGGTTTCACGACTTGCGATAAATCTCTGTTGTGGCTCTAGGGGAGGGGTTCTGTTTGATAGGCTTAGTATCTATGCATATTTAATCTATATTCATATATATAGTACTACTATATATAGTACTAGAGACTATAGACTTGGAGGTGGAATCATCGAGGAGTAGTGTTGGCGGTGTTGCAAAAATCGCGCCTAGCTAGGCGCTAAGTGGTCGGCGTTCTAGGCGCACGCTTAGACGCTCTAGGCGGTCCCCAGGCGCCTAGCGATTTTTTCAACATTGTCAGGGAGAATGAGTTTCATACAATTTTTATTATAAACTTGACAAGTAATGACAAGTTATCTTCGTCATGTGTGAATCTATAGAAAAATGTTTATGGACATCAAGAATTTAAGTGAGGGAGTAGAAATCAAGGGTGGAATTAGTATTTTCATGAATAACGTGTTGTGCAAATACTTGTTTACAAGGGAAATATAATTATATATTTCTTGTATTGTATCCAAAAATACAAAATTGTTGTTGATGAGATCAAAACCCATGAAAGCAACGTTACTAGTCTAGGAGTTATGGGACCACGAATGATAGGTTTGATGAAAAATAAACGTACGAGAAATTGTCTTTTATTTTGTATTCTTATTTTCGCTTTTTTTTTTTTTTATATTCTTTAAAAGAAAAAAATAAATCGAAGATTGTAAATTGGGGAATGAAATTTATTTCTTATGGCCCGTTTGGTTCACGGAATAGGCAGGGAATGACATAGCATTCCCAGTAATAGCTCTATTCCTTTGTTTGGTAACCATATCTATTACCAGGAATAGTATTACTGGTAATAGCCTATTACCTCAAATAAGGTAATAGCTATTACTAGGGCCCCCCTGGTATTAGCCTATTACTGAACGCTCAGGAATAGATTTTAGAATATGTTTTCTTTTTTACCCCTTTCTTTAACCTAATTTTTCATCCTATATATAAATTTATCCTATTTCACCACTGTTGTCGCCACCACCACCATCACCGCCACCGCCGCCGCCACCACCACCACCACCATCGCCGCCGCCACCACCATCGCCACAACCGTCGCTGCCACCACCGCCCCCACCACTGCCACCGCTACCACTACCATCGCCACCACCACCATCGCCGCCGCCGCCACCACCACCACCATCGCCACAACCGTCGCCGCCACCACCGCTACCACCACCACCATCACCACCACGGCCACCACCACCATCGCCACAACCGTCGCCGCCCCCACCACCACCGCCGCCCCCACCACTGCCACCGCCACCGCCACCGCCACCACCACCACTACCACCACAGCACCACCACCGCCACCACCACCATCACCAACATCGCCGCCGCCGCCGCCGCCACCACCACCACCGCCGCCAGAACCACCACTCAGCAGCACCACCGCCACCACCACCACCACCGCCACCACAACCGTCGCCGCCCCACCACCACTGCCACAACCATCACCGTCACCACCACCACCGTCGCCCCCACCACTACCACCCCAGCACCACTACCACCACCATCACCACCACCGCCACCACCACCACCATCGCCACCATCACATATTTTTATAAGGGTATTTATGTCTTTTAAAACATATTTCATTTCTATTCCTTAAATCAACCAAACACTGTAATATAATTCCTAAAGTCTATTCCTTCCGCGAACCAAACAATAGAATACAATTTCTATTCTATTCCTTACCTATTCCATTCCTTATGGAATAGCATTCCTATTATCTCAAAATTCATTCCGTGAACCAAACGTGTTGTTAGTGTTTTATGTCGTCGTTTCTTTAGAGTTTCAAAAAAAAAAAAAAAAAAAAAGTCGTTTCTTTAGCCATTTTTTTTGGTTGATATATGGAAAAAAGAGAGTCCAAAAGGAAAACAAAACTAAATAAATAATTTGGGTGTAACAATCCTCACTATATTCGTAGTAAGCTTGGGGTGTATAATTCGGTGAAATTAGTTAATAGACCGAATCAAATTCTGGTTAATTTTTTTTAATCAAAATATTTCTGTTCCGTTAATGGTTAAAGATAGATCATTTGGAAGTATCAGTTAACCGAATTATATGTGTATATATATGTGCATGTGTGTATATATATATATATATATATATATATATATATATATATATATATATATATATATATATATGTTTTGTTTTTTTTTTAATTCATAAATAATACTATTAGGTTAGTTTTTCAAATTTTATCAGTTATGTATTGATGTAATGACTATTTTGTGGTATAAAATTATGAATTTAAAAATTTTATTTAAAAATTTTAAGGATTATTAAATTAAATTAAAATATTTCGATTAATTGATTAACCAAAACAAAGTTACGGGCTCTATTACATTGTACTATCTGTTCATATACTTTCTCAACCTACTAAAACACAAAGAACCAATAACGCCTCCACTGAAGTTTGAACTCATTCGAACTCATAATCTTCCAAATGGAAGTCCAACCCAGGTACCATTAGACCACATAGTCCTGGTAAACAAAGTTTTAGTTCAATTAACTCAAAATATATAAAATTTTACAAATTCAATTAATTCGGTTGAATTATTGACCAAATTAACACCCCTATAGTCTTCTCCGAGAGCTCATAAAAACATTCCTAAACTAACCAAGTATCAACGGAGTATAGCCTTAAAGTCAATTATCAATTGGCACAACTATTTGATTCTTTATGAATGACTGAATGTGCCCGGTCCAAGCAAGCTCTATCTCTAGAAAGCATGTTTGGTATAACTTTCAATAAAATAAATAAATAAACAAAATAGATTACCCCTCATATGTAGTTTGTAGTCTATTGTATAGAAGTAGAGTTTATCTAGTGTATACCTTAATATAATTTTGCGAGACTTATTAGAACATGATTATTTAAGACCCTACTTGAGTAATCCTTTTCAAAACAGCTACACAATATTCTTCAATCAATGTTTAATATGACATGAAATTTCTTGGTATTAGTTGGCAGTATTTTCATGGGAGTTTCCTTAATGTTAGACTTCCTCCCTAACCTACGTGGAAAAATTTTAACACAAGCACAACAACAATCAACAAGCAAAAACTAACCATTTTACAAATGTAACCACCACTTCATGACAATTAAGAACTTTAATTTATACAACATAACTTTTAGTTGATTTTATCCTGTTAAAATCAATTGTACAATTATTTTCATAAAATTTACTTAAGTTTTTGAAAAGAAACATTCTCAAAATACGACACAGAAACCTCAATCACTCCTTAAGAGTTTCTTGCATAATAGGTCATTTGATTGTCACAACTAGTGTTACACATTTTTCAATCAGTATTCACTATGACATGTCATTTGTTGTATATTACTAAGTGATAGTGATTTTGTTGGAGTTTCCTTAACTTTACACTTCAATATTAATCCCAAATTAAAGCTAAGTGGAAAAAACACAAGGACAAGAGCAATCAACATTGACCACTTATTTAATTTTTAACTTTTTCTTTACAACATTACAAATGGAGAAGACTTTAAGGTGCAATGGTCTTTTAGTTGAGAAATTATATTAAAAAAAAAAAAAGAATAAAAATAATAATATTAAAAAAAAAAAAAAAAAAAAAAAAAAAAAAAAAAAAAAAAGGTTATGAAGACCCAGGGATCCTATTCAAATAACCCAATGTATAGTAACAAGTAATGAAGGATAATATGAAAAGACAAAGGTAATGCAGTGTAATAATGGAAAGACAAGGGATTGTAAATCACATGGGCAAATCTTATGTTAAAGACTGTTGCAAGATGATTACAGGAGAATTATGTATTTGGGCAATAAAGATGATGATGATGTCCTAATGAGGACAAATAATGATACTTATTTAAAGTAATAAGCCTAAAATAATGATCCACGAGAATAGGTATTCTTCGAACCGCCGATCGCTGGTTGATGTAGTAAAAATAAGTGATAGTGAGTGTACAATGAGGTACAATGTCGTCCTCAGATATTGGAGATATGACAAGCAATATGCAATCACAAGAAACTAGGCATAGCATAAGAAAATCAACAAGAAGCTAAGCAAATACGATCAAGTTTGAGGGTTATGGTAACTAATCAAAGTAACACAAATGCAGAATGAAGCTAAGGCTTAGCTGCATCATATGTGATGATATTCATGCACTTCAATTCCAATGAAAGCATTCAACAGGCGAGAAATTAAAGAAGAAGAATTTTGCATCAATAGGAAGAGGTAAACAGTTTAGTATTTCATATTTTCTTAATCTTTATATATATTAAACCAGCATAATTGCTTTTGTTGAACTTCTAGGCTCAACTTATTTAGCTATTCCATACTTCTTATATAACACACAATGTATACTGCATTCATAAATGTTAAACCCATAGTTCTGATTCAGGCTCCAATCACCAGAAAAGCTCAAGAACAACCACCGGAGGCAAACCCCAGCTGCCCTCCGGCAACATCATACACCACATCAAACGTCTGCTGTTGATAGTTTCCGAAAATCCCCCCATCTGTAGAATACGAAAACGCCAGACACACTGCTGAGCCGCCGTTATTTAGAGGCGCCATCACCCCTCTAGGATCCAAATGAACCTCCAGATTACCACCAAACGTGAAGCTTATATCCGGTATGGTTGGGTTAGGATAGTTGGTGAAGTCGTAACAAGTGTCGAACAGCTTCTTCAGTTGGGGTTGTTGTAGTACTACTTCCGGATACATTGTCATATGCTGCTTGAAAGCATCGCGCAGAGCGGTGTAGGCTGGCGTGGGGAGGCGGGTTATGACGGTGCCGGAGTCTATGATGGTCCCGGGGATCTGGAACACTTCCGGAGAGATTGACAGCGGCTGTCCGTTAACGCTTATGCCCAAGATCTCAATGTAGTAGTAGCCAACTTTGTCCTTCAAGAATGGTGTGTAGTTGAGATTATTAGCGTTAGCACTGTTTTTCCCGAATGTTAAATGTCCGTCAGATCCTGTTGGGGTGGGGAGACAATAGGAGAAGTAGTTGCCGAATTGTTGAGATGTTTGGGAGACGATAGAGAGAGAAGCAGTCCCTAAACCCATCAGTCCACCATACTCGACGCCAGAGATTAAGCTGTTGTTTTGGCCGCACCCAAATATGAAGCCATCCACGACATCCGTGGAGGTTAAGGTTAGCCTGTCCGTCGCCAGCTCACCTATGGAGTGTGATCCGTCGAGGTACGAGGTTTGGTAGGAGCACGTGGCGGTGGAATCCTCGCATTGGCCGGGGAGATTCGTCGCGGCCTCCAGCTGGGAGCAGGCTTGGGAGTTGCAATTTAGGTTGGAATAGGTTGTTGAAGCGGCGGGGTTGAATCTTGGGAGGCGCTGTTGGTAGCACTCCACCGCGCACGGCTCGCATTGAGTCCACGTCAGGTGGCTGCCGGTGTCAAACGCTAGCTCCACATCTTTTGCCGGCGTCCCAAGTCCCACCGTCACGATGTAGTTTCCCACGCCCCCTGGGTTAGGGTTCACCGCCGGGAGATCTACAGATTCGCTATTAAGATTGTTCTTGCCCAAGCTGATAGATCTGAGTCGGGCTTGTATTGATTCAACTCGAGACTGGTCGAGCAGCAGAATCTCCGTCATGGTTGGCGAGTCTCCGCCCCGAGCTGAGCAGGGACCGAACCTGTGAACAACCTTCATGGATGCCTTTCTACCCGGACCTGTAGATCCAATTACATATAATTAAACTTGTGGTGGTATACATTTACATTAATAAATATAGAGTCACGATCTCGTGCGAATTATTCAGCGCACATCACGTGTCTTTTGGTGCAGATAAATGTGTTATATGTGCAAGTAGTTGATGCACCTATACAAGTAAAAAGTGCAGGTAAAATCACTTACACCTACTTTCACCTACAAGTGCATATAATTTTGCTTTGTTAACATTCATTGATTGGGTGCACCTACTTTCACCTACAAGTACACCTACTTTCACCTAGGTGCACCTGGTATAACTATAGGTGCACCTAGATCGGGACACGTGGCGTGCCCTGAATTATTCACATTTCTCTCCGGAATGCGCGGTTCGCACCTGAACGCGAGTCAATAAATATAAATGTATACATCAATCAATAAATTAAATCTAAATAAACCTTCATTTCCAAATTCCAACAAAAAGTAATTAATCTATTTACACTATATATAATATAATAGTTTTATTAATTTTGTTTTATTTTTTATTAATTATTTTAATAAAAATATAATACTTTATAATAAATTTATTAAAATTTTATTCACAAATTTAATAAAATGTACTAAAAATGAATTTAAATATAAATTATTTGTATATTTTGTTTCATATTACTTGTTTGACAAAGAATAGTCGTAACTCGCTCGAACTATCAAGCTAACCCTAACTTCAAAATTTTATAGGTTAACTTTTAACAATTTTAATGTTATGGGATATTAGTTTTATTATGCTAAAAGCTTTTAGCCTTAACTGTAAAAATTTTGGAACGTACTAGACCAACTAACACATCAGTTTCAGGCTAAATTTGACATCCATTTATACTTTCAAACTCACTAGCTACTAGTGAGATATATATTAAAGCAATGGGTAGAAAGTAGAAATATATAGCTAATAATGAATGTATGAATGTATGAATGAATGACCTTTGGAAGTGGTGGGATTGCAGACTAAAGGTGGAAGCATGGAAGTGAGTGGAAGAGTGTGGTAGTGAGCTTCAGAAGCATTCCCCTTCTCCAAACTGCATGAAATCATCACCATAACCAGAATGGAAACATTTGCAGATGATTGAAGAAGAAGAAAAAGAAGCTTCAATATCCTATCTGCACTACTTAGTTTTCCAGCACAACCCATTCTTGAATGTTTCAACCACTTCTCTAGCTTTATATATATATATATATATATATATATATATATATATATATATATATATACTACTCTGATCTAGACTTGGAAGCACGGAGTCAACTGGGAGTGAATTTTATATAGTTTTTATTATAGACGTGACAACTGACAAGTAATGACAATCTATATATGTAGCTTTATCATATGTAAATTGAGTTAATACACAAAATGGTCCTTGACTATGATAATTTTTTTTCGATTTTATCCTAAACAACTTTTGTGATCTAATTTAGTCCTAAACTTGTGTGTTTTTACTCAATTCAATGTAGTCATCTGTTTTCATTTCCATCCATTGACAATTAAATCGAAAGGCATTTTGATAATTACAAGACTTTATTTCTTGATTATCTTTTTCGCCATCATCTTTCCACAAACTCCGATCCACCCCACCCAATAGAGAGATCGCGGCAGAACTGTAGATGGAAGCTGGAGCTACCGCTGTGGCTTCCATATATCTTCAGTTCTGCCGCGATCTCTCTCTGTTAGGCGGGGTGGAGTTTGTGGAAGGATGATGCCGAAAAAAATGATCAAGAAATAAAGTCGTCTTACAATTGTCAAAATGTCCTTCGATTTAACAGTCATTGGATGAAAATACAAATTAAATAGAGGACTACATTGAGCAAAACACACAAATTTGGGACTAAATTAGATCACAAAAATTTTTTATGACAAAAACGAGAAAAATCAGCATAGTCGATGATCATTTAATTTTGTGCTTTTTTTTTTGGGTATTAATTCTAAGTAAATTCCAAGAAAAAATGTATATGGATATTAAGAATTTGAGTGAGGAAATAGAAATTAGGAGCAATTGTATTCAAAAATTCAGAAACTCTTACAGGTCGGGATGTTAGGGCCTTTAGGGTTGTGGTTTTAACATTTTGAGAAGAACAAAATTGTTGATGATAATCAGGACTATGTGGTCTAATGGTGTTCGAGTTGGACTTCCATTTAGAAGGTTATGAGTTTAAGCCTTAGTGGAGGTCTTATTAGTTCTTTATGTTTTAGTAGGTTGAGAAAATATATGAACAGATACTACAATGTAATAGGCCAGTAACATTCAAAAAAAAAAAAAAATTGTTGATGATATCAAAACCCATGAAAGCAAAGTTATTGGTCCAGGAGTTATGGGACCACGAATAATAGGTTTGATGAAAAGTAAACGTACGTGAAAAATTGTCTTCATTTTATTTGTATTGTCATTTCTCACTTTTTTTTTATTATTTAAATTGGGGAATGAATTTGTATTTATTAGCTGGTATATTCCACATGTATAAACAATATTGACTTGTTCATAATTGCTATATATTCCTCTTTTCATATATAAATTGAGTTAATTCTATTTTTGGTCTTAGATTTATAGGTGATAATTCACTTTTAGTTATTTTTTATCAGAACTTTCACATTTGGTCGGTTGGTCTTAGTATTATTGTGGCATGATTATTTTTGGTCCTCTGTCAACAAAATCGTTGAAATTTCGTTAAATACAAAGGCATTTCGATCATATTTGTACAAAGTGAGTTGACCCCGTTATATTTGTATGTTTATTTTTTTTTTTTTTTTAAAAAAAAACTGTAATTGAAGACCAAATGGCTTTATATTTAATAATGGCATCAAAATTATTTTGTTGATAGAGAACCAAATGTGGATGTTCTAATAAAAAAAAAAAAAAAAAAAAAGGCTAAAAGTGGACTGTCACCTATAAATCTAGGACCAAAAATTAAATTCATTCTATATAAATATTTCATCTTTGTACTAAAATTTTGATTGGAGTTTCCTTTTATCTTTACACTTCATTTTTTTTTATTATTATTACAAAGGAAGGGGACACCCACTTATACAATCTACGCCTACACTAAGGCTCGAACTCTAAACCTCCCACATAAAAAAACAATCAAATACTAGTGGACCACAAACCACTTGGTATCTTTACACTTCATTAATTAACTTAAATGGACCAATGATCTTGTGGTTTAATTGTACGAAGTGACTCTCCTAGGTGAGAAGTCATGGGTTCAAGCCCTAGTGAGGGTGGTATTGACTCTTTGTACTATCTCAACATGTTGAGAAAGTAGATATGAACAAATACTACATTGTAACAGAATCATCAATACTCAAAAATTAAAAAAAAAATAAAATGGAAGCTTCTTTACATAACGACAAGCTAAGAACAAACGACTTATTTAACTTTTTCTTTATAACATTACAAGAACAAAAACTAAATGGAAGCTTCATTACATAAGGACAAGCTAAGAACAAACGACTTATTTAATTTATAACATTACAAGTGGAGAAGACTTTAACGTGGAATGGTCTTTTAGTTGAGAAATTTAAATAAAAAGAATAGAAATAATAATCAAAAATAAAATAGAGAAAGAAAATAGAATAAATATATTATTTTATTATTTAATTACTCCGTCCGTCCCATTTTATGTGTTTGACTAGAGTTATTTCTAATTTAATTTTTCATAATATTAAGTTTAGTACTCCGTATTAGTATGCTTTCAAAAAATAAAATTAGTATTAATATACACAATTTTTTTTTATTTAGAAACTACATTAAAAGTACTATTAAATTAAACATAAAAAAAATCAAATTTAAAAATAAGTAAAATATACTAAAAAAATAAACAAAGAAAAAAGAATTGATTTGACCATGAAACATATGGAGTATTAGTTTGAGAAAAATGGATCACTTATGTGATCGTTGGTCATACACATTGCCCAAACGGTGTTTACCTCTTTTTTTTTTAATTTTTATGAGAAGGGTGTTTTCTTTTTTATTGTCTTAAAAACTTGTATGCAAAATCGAGGGATTAAATTATTCACACCCACATGAAAGGGTGGTTATTGCAAATCTAGGTGGCAATTTGAAAGTGTATTGATATGGCTGTATGACTCACTTTTAAAGTAAGAGAGTATTTTATGATAGTCGGAGAGCGTAAAAGGCATACATGGAAATGAGTGGAAGAGTATGGTGGTGAGTTTCTAACCCAACTCTTTGTTCAGAAGCATTCCCCTTCCTCAAACCACATGATGAAAGCATGTTCATAAATTTCATACAAATTTGTCATTTCCACCATCATTTTAAGCAAGGAGGAAAACATCCATGATCAAAACTTCCCCCTATGGTAAAAGATATGAATGGTAGCAACCATGCAATATCTCCCTACAAGCTAAAATAGTACAGACCTACTCAGATGAACATAACTGGGAAATAGTTTGCAACATGTCTTGGGGGAGGGGAGTTTTGGCATAATATGTACTTTACACGGGCGGCGAGATGACAGAAAAGAACCTACTTTGATGGCGTTGGCAGCTTTGGGACGATAGAATCAATGAAAGCGTAATGCCTAGGATCAGCTTGCCAGAGTTTCGATAGATGAAGATGAGAGGAGGTACGCCTATGAATTTCTTCGATAGCCCAGATGCTGGCTTCAGCTTTACTAGGATGGATGATGGAATCCAACGGAACGCCCTCTTTTGCAACACCGAGTCTCAATTGATCCCACTGCCTCATTTGAATGTTGGTGAGGTAATGGAGCGGCTGCCCATATACCCGCTTAAGGGATGAAGCTAACCCCATCCATGAGGTAAACGGAATAACTGAGCCACGGTGAGAAGGTATTGGAAGCTTCTGCATGTATTCTTGGTACATTCTACAACTCCTAACCAAGTCGTCTGCATTCCACAAAGAAGGTTCGAAAGATATAAACCGATCAAACCAAACAAATTGCACTATCCAAGCTTTTGTGTAACGAGATTTTTTTTTTTTGGGGTCAGACCACGAGGTGTCCTAAACAGGCCCTAACTGTAAGAGGCACCTACTCAGACTAATCCCCGTTCGCACTGGGCCGGCCCAATTAAGGGGCAAAGTGCTGGCCAGATTGGTTTTTCCATACGAGAGGGGGTTTGAGCTCCCGACCCCTCTTAAGGGACAAGAGATAAATTTGACAAAGCACCGAGAGAACCTTATTTATGCCATGAGTAGAACAGGCCATAAGGATTTGGGCAAAAAAGTATTATAACGTCAGAGGCTAAAAGAACTGAACACTACTTGACAATTACGCTGCAAATGAATGAAGGATAACAAGCAATGAAGCAATCGCAACACCTTCTTAAAATTATATGCAGATTGAGCATTATGCAGTATGCAAATGATAACAAATCAAGGTTACAATACCTTCTGATAATTCTTCCAGATGTTGGTCATCAATAAACGTTTTGGTGAGCAGTTTATCAAGATCACGATCTGGCTTAACATCATCTTCATCTGAAGATATATCTACTTGCTCTCCAAATGGTATACTCCTCTTCATGGTCTTCAAAAATCAAAATCAAAATTCTTTTCTTAAAATAAAAAATAAACAAACATAATCAGAATCCACCAATTTCTATCTACATTTATTTAATTGAATTTAAGAGCTCCTAACCAATAAATCAAAGAAAAAACAAAATAGGGACAACCCCAACCCAGTTGGCCAGGGTTGACTTGTAACCACAAGGTTACAAGTTCGACAACCAGAACCCTAGCCATGAAGTAAAAATGTGAAAGGAACAAACTTTGATAACGATGGATTTTTCAAGATTTTACATTTCCACAAATAGAACAATCCCCAATAGCTCCAGTTCAAAATTCAAGATTTTAGTTTAATTTAAAGCGGCGATACAACACAATCCATGGAATTTGAAGATGATTTATCTTTTGGGGCTGGGAGCTATCGTCTTTATGTGAAACAATCAACAAATCATGCCAGAGGGGAAATTTTGGTAACGCTCGGGAGATTGAACATAAAATTTGAAGAAAGTAATTGATATATACACATTTTTCTCCTCTCGGAAATGGAAGTAAAGTGGACCGGAAAATTTTAAAGAATGAGGAAGAGTGAGATAGGTATGCTTACCAGCAAGCGGCGACGGGCGGCGTGAACGAGGTGGCGGTGGAGGAGGACGGTGGCAGTGGAGCGGAGGTGTTG